AGGTGACCGCTGCAACCATTGCAACCATTCCAGCAAACACAACTCCAACCACTTTTCGGTCAATCAGTGGATTCGCTCTGCCATCCGTGATTCACAACAACCAACGTCTCCTATAGGTTTCCTATTCTGAAACTTCCGCCACCGCCTTGTGCGGTACTACTGGTATCCGAATTTATATTTTACTTAAATCCCTATAAGATCAGCCTGGTTGAGCCCCCCTTGCGTTCAGGAGGAAGTGGCTAACGCTTGGGCTGAAGTGCTCAAGCGCTCCAAGGACTCCATTGGTGCCTGGGTGACCTGGGAGGACTTGAACCCCCTTTGAAAGGTCATTTTAATAGGAGAAATATCTCCTATCTCAATTGGTGCTGAGCCATCGTGAACCTCCGGTTGATGTTTTTTGAAAAAAAATGCGAACTTTCGGACAAACCCACCTGAAGCACCAAAGGATACATAGATAGGACAACCAACGATAGAACAGGCTCACATTACAATTATTTTAAATGGGGTTTTACTTTTCTACATTAGTCTGCATCTTTTTTGAGGGTTGCTATAGATGTTTGCAGAAGATGGAACCCCAATGTGGTTGTTTTCCCGTCCCAGTGGCACCAATGGTCTCTGGATTCAACAAGGGGATGGTGAAGTCTGGTGGAGTGACATGGTTTTGAAAGACCTGTCAGTTGCTTCTGACATCACAATGTTTGCTAGTTTAATTAGCCATTGGGCCATTGTTTATTTGTTTATACTGGTTGAATCACCATTTCGACGCACACACTTGGCTTTGCATTTCTGGACAAAATTGTGCAGTGTTTGCTATATCCCCCCAGTATATCCCTCATGATATACTCATTATGGTTGGTCTTGTACCACTATTTTTGTAGGTCCATTATCATGCCGTTCTTATCGTTGTATCTGGGTTTGCACATGATCATTAATCTACACCTGAGAAATATCATGGGATTTGATAGCCTATTTAGATCTATTTAGCCTGTCTGGGCGTATCTGAGTGTTTCTCTCAGGCGCAAATTCCAACTTCTTGTGGTTTGGTGGAGATAGCCTGGCCGCTCTGCGTGCCTGCCGGCAGCTGGCCGAGGTCTGGTTGATGCGGAAGGTTGTGGAAGTTTCAGGGTTCCGGGATGGTCTCTATATGGTACTGGTGGTTCCGGTGTGGTGTTTCCCGAGGTTCAGCCGTGGTGCTCTGAATTCGAATTGTTTGAAAGTCAATGTTTGTAAATTGCAAAGTATGAAGTTGTGTCTGTCGCCAAGCTGAAATTTTAAAACGTCAAGTTAAGGGTCAAAACCTAAAACTTCCAAATTTTCAAAACTCCGAGTTTTGGCGGCCCCGTGATAGGTGTTTCACTGGTTGCCGTCGCGCTTTCCCCACATTTGCGAGATAGCAGCCATTCTTTTTTTTGGCGTGGGAAATTTGATGACCCATTTTTCATGGTTCAGTCTCCATTTATCCATGAATATCCAGGATGTTCCCTAGAACCACTGGATCCCTGGATGTTTTGCGCAGGATGTGTTGCTGCCAGCCATGGATCCGGTGGACGAGGTGCAGCAGGAGCAGCTGGGCGAGGCAGGGCTCATGGTCTCTGCTGAAGCCCCGGAAGGTGCAGCTCCGCGGGCGCAGGCTGAAGGAAATGGGCATCTCTGCATCACCAATAATGTTAGATGTTGATAGTTGATAGTTGATAGTTGATAGTTGATAGTTGATAGTTGATAGTTGATAGTTGATAGTTGATAGTCAACTGTTTGATAGTTGATAGTCAACTGTTTGATAGTAAATAGTGATAATGGTACAACAATAATGGTTACTTGATAGGGAATTATGTTAGTAAAACCATGTCATAAACTAGCCATATGGATTGATGGTTGAGAAACCACCCATAAAAATTGTAACTTTGGGGATGGTAAACACTATTGCTTTACTAATATTTATTAATGTGTATTTATCCATACCCTCTGGTAATTAAACGTGGCTGGAAGATACGCGAACTAAATGGAGGTTTCTAGCCCGGAAAATCAACAATAAATGTTTTTTTTTTTTTTTTTCCGGCAAGCCATGTTTGATTACCTAAGGGCATATGATATAACCACATATAACCGCATTTGATTATGGCTCTAAAACCAATGGCATTTTTTTCTTTGGACGATATATTTGGGCTTGTCCACAATTTATGGCCAGTTATGATGATCAACAACTGGATTGGTACCCAATTTTCAGACAGACCCACTTGACGAAAACTGGGGTCATATCAGCACCCTTTTCCCATTGTTCGGTTAATGAAGGGAGGGGTAACCCCTTCAGGAATTAAATGATCGTACATTGCATGCCAAATCGGCCACAGCATATTCTTCCATATTCTTCAACGAAGAACATCATTTGTGGGAATGCGTGGAACTTCAACCAGCACCAGATTTCCCTCGCTAAAATACTAAGATGATCGGGCCGAAAATGACGAGGAGGATGTGGTTGGCTCATTATCACTTACAGTTGACAACTGCACCACCACAGAAACCTCCCCGAAGTGATTCAACAAAGAAAACATAGGAAACTTAATGTCATTAATACTTGATGGTTCATCCCACTTAGGCTATAACCCTGATTACAAAAAGGCCAAGTAGGGTTAGTTCATTTACTAAGTAGGATGAGCCACCAAGTATTGAATGTTAGCAGAAACACAATTTCCTCTTTTGGTGTTGCCTTAAAATCACTGCACTTTCATGGTACTGGGTCAGTCAGTGTGTCGCCTGAAACAGGTGCGCTTTGCGTCCTGAGTGCCGCCTTGGGACCCTTGGCACCCTGTGAGCTGCTGGCCAGGCCTGGGGATGAACATTGCTGGAATGATTTTTGCTTGGCTTTTGCTTGGCTTTTGGTGGTATTTAGATTTTTGAAACCTCAGTGCCTTAACATTCAGTTGGTCGCTGTGACGACCTGTTGGGATCAGCCAGAAGTTCCAGGCCAATGCTGCGGCAGTATGCCTCCTTTCTGGCCTCCCAGGGTGTGTGCCACAAGAGCTCAGTAGGTTGGCTGGCTGGCTGGTGGGCGAATCCTGATCTCAACTTTCAACCAAACATCCTTTTTGATTCTTGCATAGTCAATCAAGGCCCCCAAAAAAGATACAGCAACACTCTGCAAAGACATGCAAAGACAGGCCAGCATCCGTAGCACGAGTACAAGTGCCAGTATCTCTGTGGTAGTCTGGATCTGTGGCAGCAGCAGCAAAATAATCGTCCGAATCCACTTTTCCAACAACACAATCAAGAATCTATCAAGAATCTAACGGATGAAGGATCATCAACTTACACAAGTCATAGTGTCCCCAAGCTGTCTCTACTAGCGAGGTGCTGAGCCGCCGTCTGCCGGAACTGGAACGTCCAATGAGACAGGTACCATCTGTGCCATTTGTATCCATTTGTAGCATCTCAGATTTCAGTTGGAGTCAAAACAGATGGGCTCAGTTTTGAAGTACAAATCTTGGAAGGTTTGGTGCAGACCAGTCTCTGTGAGGAACTTTGCCGGAGCTGGCTCTGGTGGCAGCTGCAGGAGCACCTCAGGCATTTTTCAAATTTGAATGGGTTTGTCCAAAGGCTTAGCGAAAACGACTTCAGTTCTAGACAAATCTTGGAGGGGTTGGTCGTCCAACTCTTGCATTCATCTTTTGTCCGTTCAATTTACTGTTCAATTTATGTCCAATTTATAGAAGGTGGCATGAACCAACCATTGGCGGATGGCCATTGACCACCTAGACCACATCTTTCCGGTATAAAATTGGGATTTCTTTCTGTTTGTCACTATCACTACTTATTTCTCGTATTACTATGGTTGACTACTATTATTATTATTATCATTGTTGTTAGTAGTATTACTGTAATTTTGGGTTTACAAAAAGATCCGAAAAGCATCCCCCCTTGGAAGAGGAGAGCTGCCCCCTCCCGCACAGGAGACGGGCGAGAGGAAGTTGTGAGGGCCTTACTGGAGGCACCGAACTGGTTGACGTGAGATTTGAGTGCCGAACTGGTTGATGCGTTGACGATGATGATGATGATGATGATGATGATGATGATGATGGAGATGGATTTCAGGGAAACCCACAGGAAACAACTCATACTTTTTTCCGCAAATGTCGAGAGTAACAAAGGATCTCCATGGATTTCAATTTTCTTCTCGCGGAACCAGGTTGCTGGCCCTGATGGCCCTGCTCGTGGTCAGCCCCCACGAGGACAAGCCCCTCTCATCGCGGCTGCTGCTGCAGGACATGCAAGTGTGAAGCTCAAGCAGTTCAGCTTGCACCGTGACTTTTTGAGTGATTGGAAGAAGTCAGATATCTTGTGATTTTGTTTGACTTTTAAACAAGTTGAGCTTGGGTTACCCTTCTTTTTGAGTGACCTGAGACCTGAAAAAGACTGGGCCTTTCTTCCCTGAAAACCGGCTAGGCTGTGCTCGGCTGCTGCTGGCAGCCCGTGCCAACGTGCGTGCCATGACAACGGCACGGACCAGTGCAGCGCATCTGGCAGCTGCCAGGGCTGTGGCTTGGAAACCGATGGAAACCGATGGACCGATGGGATCGGTTGAGATTTTTAGAGATCAACAACCAAGTGCTATGATGAGCCATAAGAATCCATAAGATTCATAAGTACATCATCACCATTACTAATATTACTGTTGGTATCGTTATTGTGGTTATTGTGGTGATGATGTTGTTGATGATGATGGTGGTGATGATGAACATGCCTACTATTATCCTTACCATTGTCACTCGGGGATGGCAAATACTATCGATATCTATGGGCCCGAGATCCATAAACATCAGTGACCGGCGCAACTCTAGCAGCAGAGGATTGTGTATATCTCTTGGTGTTTGATATGATTATTGATAAATGGGAGTAGAATTAGGCCAGATGTGGATTTTGAAGCCAAGCGTAAGAGTGTAACGTGGTAGATCCAATTACAAACCATCCCCAGTATTACCACAAATGCTCTCTTTACAGACCATTTTTACATGGGCAAATGGTAGGTTTATGACAGTATGATTGGGATTACTGTATTCAGAATGTCCATTTTATGCTCTGCACTTGTGCGGCTGTTTTTTTTAGCACTCTCGGATCACCTCTTCCACCGGTCAATTAGTCAGTGATTCACCCCTGTGATATGGAGAGGATATCAAACAACGCTATGATATAGCCAAGTTTGTGATTTGCAAAAGTGTGTAAAAAAGTCCACTACATTACTATAATGTTACCCTCTGGTCATTTAACATATCCATGGAAAATGGCCCATTTATGGATGATTTTCCCACTAAAACCTGCATTTCTAAGGGATTTTCCATGGCTATGTTAAATAACCAGATGGTAATCTTATTTGTAGCCGACTTTACCTTACAATATGGGTTTTGCCGCGTGATCGCGGCCCAGCCTAGTATCCCTAGTGCCATGCACTGAGGACGCTGAACTGCTTCAGCTTTTGTTGAATGATCGTGGCCCGGAGGGCGTTGCTACATGGGCCAGAGATGCTGACATGAAGCTTGCTGTTGATTGGATTGGTGGAAGATGGACAGTAAAACCATGGGTTTAACCAGTAGATCCAAGCTTTTCGTACAATTTTTCCATTCATGAAATTCTGGGAAGAAAGTAGGTGTGGATGTGATGGCAGACTGGCCTCAACAATTACGGATCTGAGTGGACATAGGGGCTCCCCTTGCCCAGGAGTGCTTGAACTCACCGAAGATAAAAATCAAACTGTTCCAACATGTAAACAATACCATTGAGAAAATGCACACTCTGTTTGCCCATTGATGCCACCAGATCCGCCCATTACCGATAGGCGATAGGTGTCAGTTTTTGGCCGACACCGAGGCAAACTGTACTCCACCTAGCTGCAAGGCGTGACCTGTTTTGGACATGAAGATGTTTTGCCCACAGTTTCTCGGTGATTATTGTGGCATCCATATGGGTTCATTAAAGTTTGGTTTTCACAAATCCACGGGCAAATGGCAAACAATTGGCAGGCAACTTCCCTGCACAACTTATTGTCTGCCAGAGAATCATGGCGGCTCACGGTGTCAGGGGTTGTGGTCCTAGTTGAGCAGATGATTCTCCCCGAAGAATCTCAGGATTAACAGAGAAAAACAGGATCTGTGAGGGCACCGCATCATGTCCAGATATACCCAGAGTCATCAATTTCACATAGCCTAAACTAATTCATGTAGGGCATACGCCTGTGGGTTGTGAACTTGAGATGCACCTAGCTATAGCTGAAATTTGCAGGTCAGGCGACCTGAAGTCCATGGAGTTGGTGCTGTCAAGGGTGAAGGCTGGGAGAAAGCGGACAAGGCAAAACTGTTTAACTTGAAAAGCATCTGATAGTGTTGTTTTTGCTTGAACTAGTGTTTTTTTTGCCGGAGCAGTATTCCTTTCCAGATTTTCCAGAATTGTGATGGTACGTTCAGGGAGATCAAATTGACAAATGCATGACTTGCCAAGTTCTGAAAATCAGCAGGACTCACTTTGTGATATGCCGAGTTTAGCCTGGCTACAGGGCTTAAATTCTTGCAATTTACTGCAGATTCAGCAGCCTCCTGGTTCAAGGTTTAACACCTAATTTGTCCCCATAAAACATAGATCTGGGCTTAATTCCACTATTTTGATCCCTTTTGGAGCAAACCCTAGTATGATATTGAACCCATATTGTATGATACCTCGCTATAGGCTATACCGGCTATACCGGCTATACCCATTACGTTTATCTCTCTCTCTCTCTCTCCAGTATATCCTTGTTGCTATCCCCATGAATATCCCACATCCATCCCCATAGCAATGTTACTGATATCCCGCTATCGTCCCATGATATTTCCATTACATCCCCCAAAAACATCCTCTTTGACAGTCCCAAATGGATCCAAATGGTTGGTTTCAACAGGGCATATCTCCGAATGCTACTGATATCCCACTATATCTCCTATATATATATATGTATACACACGTATATATCCCCAGAATCCTATCCCTATAAGGTGCTTGCTTTCATACCCCATTGGACCTAGCGCCAGCCACGACCCCAGTGACAGGGCCTCAAGGCCAAAGATGGAGGCCTCGAGGCTAAGGATCGCTGGGGAAGGACACAGAATCTGCTCGCGGGAGGATTCTTGTGGTGGGGGTTTATACAATATGATGTCTATGATAGGATTGTTGATGCTTGATAGATATATCATGGATTTTTTTCAGATGAGATAATTGAGATATGGATTATGTAGATAGGATATATATATATATGATGGATATAATTATGATGTCTACTTACTTGAGGGGCATGATAGCAGCTTTATTATCGATTCATACGGTATGAGAGTACTTGAAATTGCATGTCACTCCATTCGTCCGAACATGGGAAAACGGGATGTCCCTAAAATCACACCGTTCTTGTGACATCATTTTGCCCATTGTATGCTGCCATTTGGATCATTTTGGGGTACATCCCATTCATGAATAAACTCACAACCCTAATTTTGAATAGCAACATGTTTTTTTTGACAAAATCAGGTGCAATAGCCGTGTCCTTTGAGATGATTGAGCAACTTAGCTTTCTTCACTGAAAAGACTACTGCCATTGCTTTCAGGGTATCTTTTTGAGATTTCCTCCCAAAAAACCTCCCAGTGCGGCAAGGACGGCGCTGCAATGGGCAGTGGCCAATGGACACCAGGATGCGGCCGTGTGCCTCATTCGCAACGGTGCCTTCACGAAGAATTTGCCCGACGCGCTGCTAGAGGATCTGCAGGTGAACCTCTCAACACCTTCCAGACCGGGTCAACCACTGGCCTCACGGAAGGCAGGGAATGGGCCGAATGGGCCCTCTGCAGAAGTTCTGAGGCGATTTTTTTGTCGTTGAAGGTATCCCCTTTGTAGTAAAAAACCATAGGAACCCTACTGTCAATGCTGAATTCCGTGGTTGAAAGATGATTTTGATTTTGATGTCTCTGCTGGTAGTGGTGACAGTAATTCTGGGAAGTTAGTTTGGTTGAGGGGCAAAGATAGCGGCTGATCCAGTTGAATCATCCCTGTATTGCTCCAGACACACCGAAACTGAAGGTAGTTCAGTCCACCGAGCGCATTCGAGCACTGGTGGAAAGCCTACCCAAGGTGTTTTGGCAGCATGATGATTGCATGTCATCCTGTAAATATTGGTTATTGGAAAGTAGCAAGATACTGAACTGAAGACAAAATTTTAAATCTATGACTTTATGAGATTATGATAGTTTATGTCAATTTGCAATACCACCAGGAAGTTGCCTACTTGTATCATAGATCTCTCTCTCTCTCTCTCCCCAGGCATCCTGTGAAGCACAGGAACGAGAAATCTTTGCTCTTACTGCTCTTAGAGATCCTTGGCTTATAGAGCTACAATCCCTGGTTGAGATGAGTATGGAGTTAAGGCACAAAATCAGGGCCTCCGACCGATCATGGACTCAAGGCAAAAAAAAACCTCCAACCTGCAGATTTTGTTGACTTTTGGTATTCAACCATTGTAACTTTGGGCATCTAGTTTTCACCCCTATGCAGGTGTCACTGATAATATCAAGGATTTCAGCTGGTGCATAAAAGGATAACTTTGGTCAGGCTATGGTCCTCTTGAAAAAGAATTATTTGCAAAGTTCAAGAATGGACAGACTGTACATGACTGGAGCATACTGACGCACCAGTCTTCATGATGTTCCTACAGTTTCCATTCAAAAACAAGCTCAAGCAAGCTGGTGCTTTCTTTGGCACTGCAGTGAGAAGTTCGAGCACCGACATCTTGGCTGCCCCTGGGTTGTTGAGCAGCGGACAAAGCACCAGGGCTTTTCGGAAATGTTGTACATCATGCCAGAGCTATTGAACCACACTTCAACAGTATACATGGAGCCGTTTGGATTAGATTAGCACGAAATATTGGAGGCCATGCCAGAGCTATTGAACCACACTTCAACAGCATACATGGAGCTGTTTGGATTAGATTAACCAGAAATATTGGAGGCCATGCCAGAGCTATTGAACCACACTTCAACAGCATACATGGAGCTGTTTGGATTAGATTAACCAGAAATATTGGAGGCCATGCCAGAGCTATTGAACCACACTTCAACAGCATGCATGGAGCTGTTTGGATTAGATTAACCAGAAATATTGGAGGCCATGCCAGGGCTATTGAACCACACTTCAACAGCATACAGCATACATGGAGCTGTTTGGATTAGATTAACCAGAAATATTGGAGGCCATGCCAGAGCTATTGAACCACACTTCAACAGCATACAGCATACATGGAGCTGTTTGGATTAGATTAACCAGAAATATTGGAGGCCATGCCAGAGCTATTGAACCACACTTCAACAGCATACATGGAGCTGTTTGGATTAGATTAACCAGAAATATTGGAGGCCATGCCAGAGCTATTGAACCACACTTCAACAGCATGCATGGAGCTGTTTGGATTAGATTAACCAGAAATATTGGAGGCCATGCCAGAGCTATTGAACCACACTTCAACAGCATACAGCATACATGGAGCCGTTTGGATTAGATTAGCACGAAATATTGGAGGCCATGCCAGAGCTATTGAACCACACTTCAACCTGAAACCATCCGGATCAGATTTGACCAGGAATTTGTGGTTTCCCTAAAGGAGCCATGGTAAGGTTTCGCCGGTGATGCCAGAGCCGCTGGCAGATGTCTTTGGGGATGGCAAGCCTGACGTGATTTCAAGCGCTGAGGTCTCGGCAGATGAAGATCAGGGTTTGTTGGTCACTTGGTGCGGCGCTTCCCATAGGATGGTCCGGCGGATCGCGGTTTGGTTTTTTCGCCGCCCGGTGATAAGTCCCCTTTTAAAAACGCGGGTTATCACCATCTAGAAATGGTTTATCCCATCTAGAAATGGATTATCTAGAAATGGTTTATCCCACTATAAATCCTGGTTATCACCATCTAGAAATGGATTGCTATGCTATGGTTATGAACCACTTATGATCCACTTATGATCCTCCAAGTAGCTTCGTTGCTCCAACACGGAGATTTTTTTTTGGGCTTCAACGGTTATCCCATTGGGGTGAGAGTAGGGCTACGATAGCTAAGCTGATTTAAGGTAAACCGGATGATACTAAATGGCTTATAAAACCGGATGATACTAAAGGGTTTATAACCTTTGCTTATACAACCGGGCTGTTGATGGGGTATCAACTATTGCTTCTAAATGGGGCTTATCATCCAAATCAACTCCGAAGCAAACCCCAGGGGGTCCGGGTGCATTAGGGACTTCATAGATTTGCCAACTTTGATCCCGTTCCCCTGTGACCGATCTGTTTCTGACATGGAAGATGGTCCGGGGGTCTCGTTTATGCTGACCATTTGATTCTGTTCAGCCACGATGAATGCTGTCATTTGGGGATAGAGCAGTAGGGCCGCGAGATCTCATGCTGGTTAAAGCTTATTGACCAGTAAAAGCCTGAAACTACATTGTTGTTTCTCTTTTGTTCCTATGTGATTCTGGCTTTCTAGTTGCAAGTGTCATTCTAGTGGATTTTTTTGGGGTCATTGGTAAGTGCCACAAGCAGTAGAAACACAGTCCAGGAAGTGCGAAGCCACCATTGTCTCTTGTGCAATGCAACGATGATCTGCGAAAGTGAACAAATCTGAGTGAGTCGTTAGCTTTGCATGATTTTGGACAGAACACAAAAACATGGGATTTGGTGGAGGTGGTTTCCTGACAGTGACACGCATCCTAAGCAAAATTTCTAGGCAGCTTCTGTCGTGCTGCCCAGGGTGGAACTGGGGAATTCAAGACGAATGGCAGCCCTGGACCCACCATGCTGTTAAATGGCGTGGATGAGGGGGACGATGAATCAGTTTCGTCACTCGGCTTCTTTTGTCTCTTTGTTGGCGCCACTAGAACTTGCACGTTTGCCGACTATTTGCTATAGACAACCCGCAGAGGCAGTTTAGTTCAAATGCGGAACATGTCATAGAGCTCATGACAATTTCGCAGAAACTTCATGGCTCACAGGTTGGCCGGAAATTTAAGGACATGCTGCAAGTTCACTTTGTGCTGCCTGGGTGTCTTTTGCTTGTGCGTTTTCTCGTTCTTTTTGGGCACCCAGTGGGAAGCTGGGACTTCGCACACTGTGAAGCTGGATGAACAGCTGGAAGAGCTTCAGGAACACCGGGGGTGACTTTTGAACAGCCACTGCACGCAGAAATCAAAAACGCAAAAACAGCCAGGCACGAGGATGGGTGATTCTTATCAGGTCAAGTTGGGTTCAACGATTGCTGGTAGTCAATCTTTTTTTGAAAAGAACTGGGCGACCTTTGACAGATCTTGTACTGGTCATGTAGACAGGTTTGTCCAGGACCCCTGCGTCCCAAAGCAGGACTGGCAGGAGGCCTTTCCCGCGGCCTCGCCGCCAACTACGACCACAACAACTTCCGCGAAAGCTCAATCTGTGGGGAGCCTTGGGGTAATTTCAATGGCGGTGAATGCCTTGGGTCATTTTGGAAGGAGAACCATCCCTTGGTGGGTGTGGTTCAAACTTGAGACTTGGTCATCTAAATGGATGCTTTCAAGCATCCATTTTGATCCAATGTTGGGGCTCAATCTTCATCTTCAGGCTTCAGGACTTCATTTTCGTAAGCTTGCTTTTTGGTAATTAGTATGTCATGTTTGATCCCCATGAAGATTCTGGGTGATCCCTATCCATCTCTCTGCTTTCTCGCCTGGAAACAGGTGGAGGATCCAATCTCCCTGTCCTCCTTGGACTCGATCGAGAAGGTCTCTTCACCATCAAGTGAGATGAGGAGGATTAAACCTCTGAAGATGAGGATATGATTAAGGGATATTAAGGGGTAGAACTGGCTTTTGGGTATGGCTCGGGTTTAGTTGGCTTTAGCCTTAGGGCATCTTAGGGCTGCATTTTGTGGAGCCCATTCTTTATCGTCTGTATTGTTTCCTTCGGGGCCGGCCCCTCGGCCAAACCAGGCTCTGGCGTGTATACGCCTGACATCTCCACAGCAGGAAGCCCGCTATCCTGAGGATGCAGAAAAACATTTCGAAGAGGTGCCGCAAAATTTGGAAGCCCCACAATATCATGGCTATCCATGGCAAAAACCCGCATTTTCCGAATTGGAATGTGTGATTTTTTTTGGGGGTTTTGTCGCGTTTTGAAACAAAGCCTATTTGGAGCCGGTGGCACATGCTTGTCTTGATAGGAATGGAAGGAACTGGTTGTTTGGTATTGACCTTGGTCGGATCTATCATTCCTATGCGAACTTCCCTCCACTGATAAAATTGCAGACCTCCTACATCCAGCAATGGTCTAAAATCAAGTGCCCTGAATCCCTGGGAACCTGGGAACCCCACTGGGACCAACTATGCGTCCACGCAGATCTATCACAACGTGACCACCTTTGTCCCCATGGATTTTCCGGCGCACGGTTGGGCTGGCTACAAAGGACCTTGGATCGAGTCGCTGAATGGCAGATAGGGGGAAGGGGGGCCCCCCACGGCATGGGATAAAAGGAGAGCCTCGGGTGTTGAGGCAAAGGAGGCCAATGAGTTTTCTCAGGTTTGCACTCTTGATGAGCTGTTCCAGGTGGTTATCTAAATTTAGTGGAAGAGAAACTTGGAAGTAGGACATTGTACTGTCATAGATCCAAGTGATGATAGTGATGCCCATTGGTCCCATAACCAGCTTGTGAGCCCAGGAACCATTGGATCAAGAACTTTAGCCAGAGATGGTTTGAACGTGCAGAAGGAACCAGGTTGAGAGACATCTTTGGCCCGTTTCTGGTTGTGCAGCAAGCAGGTTTGAACTCTGTTTTTGTGTGTTTTTGTGCATGCTGCATACTGCATGACATTATGAAGATCATGGCTGAAAAGGTACCTTCGATGTCTAGATAGACGATCTGTCCTCACCAAAGTGTGTTCAGAAGGTTTCCCACCACGAGCAGCACCCGGTAGCCGAGGTTCATCCCCATCTTCGTACCCTGGGTTGATCTGGCAGTCCGTAGCAGGGCCTATCCGAATGGGATGATTCCGAAGCTTGAACGCATTTGAGATATGCATCCATAGCTGTGAGGAATGAGGAATATGCGCATAGATGAAGATCATCAATGTGCAGACTCTTTGAGCTGAGACCATTTGAGCAGGTTTGAGCAGAGGTTGCAGGACAACCGGATGAGTTAACAGTGGCACCTTCGCCTTGATGCCAAGATCCAGAGTAGCGGCAGTCAAGTCCTTTAGGAAGAAATCCTTCAAAAGAAATTGTTGAGTGGAAAAGTTGCAGGAAATCCCATATCCGATATATCCAATTTCTTAAGTTTCCAGCACACTCTTCCTAACTCCATTGATTTGTTTCATTGCCACTTTGAATGGGACAAGGCAAATTTCAAGTCATGTCAGGATGTTGAAAGAGAAGATGAGAGCAGATGTGCTGTACATCACAGTCTCCCAGCACGACTTGGGCATTTTCTGGGGCGCTAAGCTGGGATCCCCAGGGTGTAGCTGGAAAATGGCCTCCAGAGGTTGTAGCGACCTCACCACCTCACCAGAAATGATGGAAATTGTCGGGAAATCATCCCAACAGAATGGATATTATCCTCCAGGTTTCAGAGGTTTATTTCTCTTGTTGGATCAGAAAATAGCCAGTTTCAGGATGTTTCAGGTTTGAGCTTTGTGGCAATGGTTGCAAGTTCCGAAGCGTCAGGAACACGCGCATTAAAAGAGAAGACTTTCCGAACCTCTTCGTGTTCAGTGCTGGAGGCCCTTTGGGTTGGTGCAATATCAACCCAGGATTTCTCAGAGAGATTTCAGGATATGCAGATATGCAGATATGCAGGGGACCATTCTTGATGGTCATTGATCACTCTTGGGCTATGCTATGCCACAAGTAGTCAACCAGGGTTGGCATTATAGATCCTCTATGACGCGATGACTACGGAAATGGTGAACTGCCTAGGTAGGACCAACCAAGGACTAATGAATCCAGGCTGACTTCATTAGGATCTTTAGGTTGCTGAATTCACGACAATCTGCTATTGAAGAAGCCCCCCAAATAGGCCAGCCAGGGATTTGTTGATCCATGATGTGGTGCAGATGCTGAGGCTGAGTAAGACCAGATTGCCCCATTTTCCTCCAAACTTTTCAGGCCCATGCGTAGCATTTTCCATTGGCTTCCCCAAACTAGATGTCGATGATCAAAAAGATGATTCAATGGATCGGTTTCCTGCAGATTTTGTCCAGGTTATGGACATGTTCCAGTGCCCTTGTTGAAGCAGCCGGAAATGCCACTAGCACAGATGCCGTTTGCGGAAAGAAGATACTTTGTGCGGCTTAGATGCACAGGAGGGGTCTCCCAAATGATACATAAGCTGGCTCAGAGTAGACAAAGGGTGGATTTATGGTGGATATATCTCTAGTCTAGTCCATACTTAGATGGGCTTCTAAGCCAACAACACATCGCAGGGCCTTCAGGAACCACCAGTGGGATACATTTTCAGCTGATCTTTCCATACAGCCCCGTTGGGCCGGGGGCAAGCTGAGGTCTTTCGTTGGTAGCGCTACCAACAAAGCACGTCTCAAAATGAAAGCTACGGCTGAAGAGTGGAGCAACAGGACCCAGAAGGCCAGGGGTTCACCCGGTTCACCGATGGGTGGCCTGGAAAAGTGTCCAGTCAACACTTTCTGGCTCTGAATAGCATTTCTTGATAGTCAACACTAGCTGGAGCCCCTGTTGCTTAGCGGCACATGCATATCAAGGCCTACTGACCCAGGCTGAATGCATTTCTCTGATTGAGCGGCGCATAGTTTTTTTTTTGGCAGGAATGACGTCGGTACGAGTCGCACTTGCGGATCTCATAGACACATAACTTGGTCAATTTCCTGTATCAAACCATCCACTGCCATTGGGGTGGCATTGGATTTGACAAAGATGTGGCACCACATTTTGGGTTTTGGTTGCAGACAGGAGGTGCTGGTGAGCATGAAACACATGAGCGATTGGAAAGAAGTCTTGCAGACACTTGTTGGCAACGGTGATGGACAGGTGATGAAAGTCAAAAGGTATAAACTATGTGATTTTGAGCCGAAAAACATAGATGGAGACGGGTCAATATGATGTGGGATCAACATCTGCCCAGGTATTTTGGTTTGACGGGTAGCAACATGTGACACAGGCTTCCACAATCGCAGGACATGACGATTGGCAAGAGTTTTAACTATGGCGGGGGATATATCGCTTTGATACGTTCTTTTTGAATTGAAACCACCATATTTTTTTGCCAAAATCGAATGATGGGACAATGAACAGGAACCCCCTAATATTTCACTGCAAAAACCATGGTTTCTGGTTAAGATTCTTCCCTTCAATCCACTAAACAGGGGTGCTCCAACCTGTGGCACATGATAGCCACATGGTGAACTTGGTGATTTTGCCTCTTTATCCAACCATTTCCTACCCCAAATGTATCTGGGGTGTTGGGAGCAACCTGTGGAATTGAAGGACACACACATGTGTGTATATGTACAGTATATATATATATATGTATATATATATATGTATATACACTGCATATGCATCCACATATATCATATATATTGTATAATGATATGTATATATACAATATATATACTAGACATGTATATATTATGTATATATTATATCTTATATTATATATGTATTACATTTACATATTATATAATATATTATATATTATACATATTATATATATATTGTATTATATATAATGTATATAATAATACATATAATATATTATATATATTATATCATATTATATTATATAATGATATATATACTATAATATAATATAACATAATATAATATAATATAAAATAATATGATACAATATGATATGATATATGCATATATAATATGTTGTATTATATTATATAATCCAATATAATATAATATGATGTATGATATAATATAATATAATATGATATAATATAAGATAATATGATATAATTTTGTAATATAATATAATATACTATAGTATTGTATAATATATATATAGTATAATATGATATAATACAATACTATACAATATAATATAATATAATGTAATGTAATATGATATATATATAATATGCTATAATACAATACTATACAACATAATATACTATGATATAATATAATATAATATATTATAATATAATACAATATAATATATAATATAATATAATATAATAATGTACACATATATATATATATATATATATAAAATAATACATATATATATATATATGGTCCCGTCCTCCGTCTCTCCACCCCCCCAATGGGTTGGGTCCCCAGGTAGCACCCCTCCTTCCCTTCTATTTGCAAGCTATTGGCAGCATTTCTGAGGTCCAGCTTCGTATTTGCTAGGTCTTTGCAGCATTTCTGACTACCAGCCTCGCATTTACTAGGTACATGCTACCTTTTAGGCGACCTACGTAGCACACAAACTCCCTCAAAGTACCTACGTGCTACCTATAGACACACACACACATATACATATATATATATATGTATATATACACACATGTGCTATGTATCTACTTCCTATCTACTACCTGTGTACTCTGACAATACTACATGTGTTTAACATATACCGTACCTACCATACATTCCAATGACGCCATGCATACCATACCTATCATACCTATCACACATACCACGCATACCATACATATGAAACATAATCACGCCTACCATACATACAATACAAAACATACATGCCATACATACCATACCTACCTTACATAGGAAACATTCCATACCCATCATGGTAACCATACATACCATACATACCATACCTATCATACCTATCATACATACCATATATACCATACATATGAAACATAATTACCACGCCTACCATACAAAAATACATGCCATACATACCATACCTACCTTACATAGGAAACATCCCATACCCATCATAGCAACCATACATACCATACAGACTATACATACTGTCATTTCAAACATACCATACCCAACAGACTTACATACCATACCTACCATCCATGCAATACCAACCATTCATGCCATACATACCATACCTACCATACATACCAAGCATCCCATACTTTCCAAACATGCCATACCAGACCGACCATACACATCATACATACCCAACATACCATACCACACCCCCACCACACCGCAGGGGGGGAGGGGGACAGTACCACATCCCCACCACACCACAGGGGGGTGAGGTAGCTATCCCTCTATTAGGGGAGCCCTGGACAACTAATCTAAACACCTGTAGCAAGCGATGAGCGGCGGACACTTTTCTATGCTGCGGAATTGCTGCTAGTCTTGAGCCATGCGGAGTGCGCATGAAAGATGTGAATTAAGTGTACATGTCAACATGCATGAGTGCATTGTGGAGACACGTAAAACAAACTAAATCACAAACAGACACAAATTTTCTTCGTGTCGGAACATGCAAGTCTGTTTCACAGGTAGCGCTCAGCCTGTGATCTGCTGTGAGACGGTCCGAAGACAAAAACAAAATTGTACAAAAGCTACTCTCCGCTGTTGGAAAGCGGTTGGTTTTAGGCTGCTGTCAAGCTACCGCAGATGCGGAACATTGCAATTTTTCTGGGGCTACAAGCCCATAGTGAAATAGTAACCGTAGAAACTCAGCTCATTTTGCCTACGGTTTTCCCCGGACAAATGAAAGAAAATGGACTGATCCGGTGTTTGCGGGATCATGTCAAGCCACGTTCCGTCGTATTTCTGGACCCAACGCTGTCTGGGTACTTGGTACCCTGGGACGTATTCTACTTGAGTGGTATTGGGATTAACTCTGTAGTACGACGGCTGATCATAACTGTAACCGTAATTGCGGTGTCCGGAAGAGCTGGAAGCTGTTCCTTGGCTAAGCCATTGCGAACCCGACATGCGGGATGGAGGCGCAGGAGGCTCAGGTACGTTAATAGGCCTTTTTCTGGTTGTTTGCCTCTGGTCGGCCTGCTGCGATCTCTGCCTCTGGTCAGCCTGTTGTGTTCTCTCTCTCCACGGCGGTGGAGTCTTCGGTGGTCCTGGCGGATCAGGTGGCGTTCGAGGCTGTTGTGAACCTAATGTTCGTCCGGGAGCCGGAACTGGAGGAGCCTTTACAGGAGGCCTTGCCGATGAAGAAGATCCTGATGACTTCGGTGCGGATGTTTCTCTTAAGGATCTTGGTGCAGCCTTGTATTGAACTGGTCTGGCTTTCTCTGCTGGAGCTCGCACTGGTGCCGGAGGCGGTGCCGGTGTTTCGGCTCTGGGTCGATATGCTCTGGTCCTGCTGATCGATCGACTTCTAGTGCGTCCAACATTTCGGTGTGTATCAGTCCGCAGAGGCGGAACACTGTCTCTCCTTTCTTCTCTTTTGTCGAGATATCCTTGAGTTCTCTGCATCCATTTTTCACGTCTTTTATCTTCAGATTCCTTGGAACGAATGCGCATATTTTTCAATGCCTTTAGGGATGCATATGTAAGGAGAGGTGAGTGCCATGCACAGTCCTTTTCTGCCAGACCAAGGTCATATGCCATCAAATGTTTCAACTGTTCAACATCGTTCAACATAACTTCATCGGAGAAAGCAGATCCTGCAAATCCATCGGCAGAAGCGGATTCTTCTTTTGCACGTGCTTCCGTGACAGCGATCTGCTTACCGTAACAGAGAGAAATTAAAAGCATTGAATCACAATCAGCATCATCTCCACGCATGCTTCGGATGTAATCAGCCGCAGTGGTCGATGAAACTACGTTATACGTAATACGGTTTATCGGACTGCGGTGAAGATTAATCTGCTGAAGGAAACGCTCCAAAATGTCGATAAGGATGCAAGTCCGGTAGTCGGAATGATCGTCTGTCTTAAAGCTTCGCTGTGCGAAAAGATTCCCGTCACCGGACAAAAAGTCACACTGATGTTCAATACAGCTTGCGACAAATTGGAGCCATTTCTGGCACGTTTCTTTATAGGCATTACTCCATGCATATGAGGAGATATGAAAAACCGCAATGCGGCATTCAGCTAACATGAGACGTCGGACGTCATGGGTGTCAGCTCCAAGATTCACTTCACAAGCTTCCACGCCGGAGACGGAGACGATGACCATCGTCTCCGTCGATCTCACAGATCGAATGATCAAGAAAATCGAGTGAGGATGCAAGTGGGCGATCGTGCTGGTAAACCGTAGATTCGGCATTTTTCTCGATGTCCGGTTTCGGAACACGAGCGCCAGTAGAAGGGTCAACAAATTCTCCTGACGTGTTCATGCCATGGCAAACACGAAAAATGGCACCATGCAAAATCCAAAAGGGTGCATCTTTGTTGGACGTTTGAATTTGGTGTTGACATAAAAGTTCAATAAATGAGCCTGTATCATGTGATCCACGGAGAAAAATTGCAAGGGACTGTGACTGGATGTGCGGGTGCACTACCATTCCAATCATGCCGTACTCTTCGGCAAGTTCTCGATGGACGGCAATTCCTCCGTACTCATCGGAAGCTTCGCACAAGCACACAATATGGGCCGCATTACGGAACACTAAATGTGGCAAGGCACGATGATTAATATCAGTTCTGACCCATTTTGGAAATTTTGCGCAACCTCCGATAAACGGAAGACGGTTGATGTGACCAAGGTTCAACGTCAAAATGCCAAGCTGATACGTGTCCTTCTGAAACTCGTGGATGTTCTCCTTAGTGCGCTTGGTAACACCGAGGATTGCTCTCTTACCTAGAAGGCACGATCTGGAGAGTTCCAATAAACGGAGAACCTCCTCTGTCTCAAGTTCATCGCCGTCAGGGTACTTGAAGAAAGCCTCAGGTCGCCAGATCGGAAGAGGCGTCTGGTCCTGGGCATCAACATAGTGCTCCTGGAGAGTCGGAATTCGACATCCAGATGGCATTTCATAAACATATTCTGTATAATCAAAGTCTTCAATTCCATGACGTGCAAAAGACTGAAGATAAGTGTTTCCAATGGAGCGTCCCTCACGCAGATGCGTGATCAGTTC